TAGATAAAAATTTAAGATTATGAAACACCTATTACCTAGTTATTTTTTTGAAATATAATAATTACGTTGTTAAACACTACTTGTAAAATTGTTAAAGCTGTAAAAAATTCAACAATCCATTATTAAAATCTTGTCACTTTACTAAAATCTTATTAACAATATTGAACATTACTACTTAATGCTAAAAAAACAATTCCTAGAAAAACAATTCCTAAAAAAATTCCTAAAAAAAATTCCTGAAAACCAATTTTTAGAAAAACAATTCCTAGAAAAATAATTAAAATTAAATCAATATAAACTTATTTTAAACTTTAGTTCTAAATAATATACATAGAAAGCAAAAACTCCAAAAAAAGAAAATTGGTCATTAATGTATTCTATATCTTTTTACAAACTTGAAATATTTCATAATCATCTACAGAGAAATAGTTATCGTCCTTTCTTATAGGTTTTTCATAATCATCTTGTTTACACATGCACCCGTTATCATTAAAATTATTGCCCATTTCTAAATCAGTAATGCCAAAACTAAAACCCAAATCTTTATTACACCAAACAGCATGGACAGGGTCTTTAACTCGACTAAGAATAGAGCTTTTCACACTTCCATGCTTTAAAGAAAAGATAAAACTATCATTTGTTGTTTTCCATTCACCAGATACTTTTTTCCATTCAGCAGGATTAAATCCACCAAGAATTTCATCAGATCCTTTTACTTTTAAAACAACCACAGTAAAAGAAATTTTATCACAAATTTCCCAAAATTTTTTAAAGGAAAAACCATCTTTACTTCCTTGAAGGATCAATCTAAAAGTATAAGGAATGCTGTTCAAACTATATAAAGTAGGACGCCTATCAATCCATGAAGCAATTTCAGCAATATGTTCTTTAGTAATAATAGTGGAAGAAGGAAAATCATTTTTGGCAAGAGATTTGTCAATAGGTTTTGCACGAGGAGGTAAGATAATAGAATCAATTGGAAGGTTTGGTGCCATAAATCTAGCTTGAATATCGGTCCATAAGCTTTGTTCAAGTATTTGGTTATAAGGACGAACTTTTTTTAAGACATCTTCACCAGGGATTTGAAAATAACGAACTAAAGGAAGGCAGTTTTGGAGAGTAGATTTCAAAGTTTTAAAATCAGACTCGTTCCATTCATTTAAATCCTTAGATAAAGAAGGATTTTGTGCAATTCCCCATTTGATAACTTGATCCCAAAGTCTTCCTTCATCCATTGGTAATTTATCTTCCTTTAAAATAGAAATGAAAGAGTTTTCATTGAGGGAAATAAAGTCATCCGAATCAAACATGACATCAGGATCTTTTAACATCATATTAGCGCAAAATTGGCGCAATTCCTTAAAGTTATTATTTTGAAAACTAGTTTGATATGCTTGAGCAAAATTATGCTGGATCCAGGAAGTACTATTTTCAATTAAATATGTTTCAAGATATTTTGATAATTCTTCAAGATTTAAATTATATGATGTGGTTAAAAGTTCAAAGATCGTTAATATGTCAATTTCCTTGAGTGAAACAGTACCACCATAAATATATCTGAATAATAAAAAACAATAATTAGACTTTTAATATAGAAAATAAAAATAATTATATAATTAGTGATGGGACTTACCGGGGTTAGAAATTCAGGCTGATTAATTGTCGCGCACATCATAGTATAAAAAGTAAATCTATAATATTGTTTTAACATAATGCAACATGCGACAATTAAGCAGCCTGAATTTCTAACCCCGGTAAGTCCCATCACTATATATAATAGTTTATATAAAACTTACTTAATTATAATGTCAAAAACTTTAATGGTAATATCTGGTTCATTAATTTCTTTAATGTTGTTAATATTAGGTGATATATCTTTCAATTGTTGATAAAAATATGGACATCGATATTGTAAAATAATTGAATGTGCCTTGAAAGATTGTGTTTCTACTTTTCCAATATTAATAATAACATTATATTCGTCACTATTTTCTAAAAGTTGAGTATAGTTAGAAGATAACCGATCGTAAAATTTTGCAATCATTTTTATTAATTTGCAAAAATTTTTTCGATGCGATATAAACGGACATTATAAATACCATAAAACATTAATCATTTCATTAATCATTTGACCATAATATTTTGTAAATGTTTGTAGTACTTAGCTAATATAAATATACGTACGTGCGTACGTAAAAATGAATTATGATTGTCAACGATTCGGTACCGTTACAAGAAAATCCGTTTCTCAATACAAATTGCCAGTAATGTACGATGAGTACATGTGTATTCTTGTTATTTAAGCATACCATTTCAATGCCTGCAGCCTCGTTTACCATCATAGACTTCTATGTCAAAGCAGTTATATTTTAAATTAATACTTTAGTAAAAGCTTGTTTACGAATAATAAAACAAGGCACAAAAATAATTAAAATTGTATTTTTAATAAAAACTTGGCAAGATATCCGGATAGTAAACAATGTTTTGAACAATGAATTTTCATTCATTAATAATAATAAAAAAAAAATTGTTAAGGTCGTTAATGAGTATAAAAAAAGAAAAAAAAAATTTCGTGCCCAAATTTAAAAAGTATACAGTATTATTTTTAATAGGTTAAACCTCTATCAAAAGCATCGTTTTTTCTGGAAAGCTCGAGAGATATATTCAAATAATCCGATTTGCATAGTTTGTTGTAAAAATATTCATAAAATCATTTGTTTAAATCAGTTTGGTACGTATGTACGTACAAAAGTATTCTCAAACATCGCACAATCAGCCCATATGACCAGTAGTGATGGTAAAAAAACGGGTTAAACAGTTGTTTATACTTTTTTTTATTGCTTTAAAAAAAAGGTTTAAAACATTAATGGCTGATGTTGAAATTTGGCTGAAACTGAAACTATTGCAACCAACTTGTTAATTTCAGTTTCAACAAAAAAAATGAATTCTTTTTGAAATTTGAGTTTGTTAAAAATATTACCGCTACATGTAAAAGATTGATTTAAAAAAAAATTTTTATCAACGTTAATTTATTATATTTTAAATGCTTAATTTACCTATTAGACAAATATTCTTTTTGTATTCAGTATTATATCTATT